ACGGCAGCTCAACCACTTAAACCCCGAGCGCACAGCCACCGGTACCTTTGCAGGTCAGAAGGGACGACGTACCCCCTACTTCCACTACAAGTAATGTGGGCGTAGGCTAAAAACCTGTAATCAGCAACACCCCGATCGTTTAATCTTCTGATTTGTCACTAAGGACACCGCCCTACATCACTATTTTTATATGTATATAGCGCGAGACAGACATTGAGGAGATACATGGAGACAGACATACAGACAACACAAGTTCATTACTAATCACGCTGTACTCACTGGACAACACACACACTTCAACTTTGTATATCCATACACACTCCTTTCACTTATTATTCAACAAATACAGTCCACTTTCGAACGAGAAAAGGAGAACCCTTTTTTCATCATCACAACTATTTCACACAAGATTAATTCAGCGTGTGAAAGTGTTACGCCACGTCCACTAATATTGCCTGGGCAGCGTGCACGAACAGATAAATCGACCGTTAATTTCGACGCGTATTTTCTCGTTTCGACGATACTCGTAATCGATAACGAATAATTCATATAAAACACTCAACTTTTAGGCATACAAACTTAAATACGATAGTATTTGCACTTTGGCGTCAAAAGAGAAGGACACGTGAAGAAAGAATTTCAACTTACAACCGAAGTTGACCTATCTTTCTGGTTTATCCCACTTCTGAGTAAAGATAACTGTAAGGTTTATGCAAAATATTAAGGACTTTTCCACTGTTTTATTTATATACTAGGCTATGTATGTATAACGCAAAACCGCACCACTCTGCTCGACATGGGATTCGGGTGAATGACGTGAAGTCCGATTCGTTAATAATAATTATATTTTGGCGTTTCAACGTATACTCCGGATATAACACATCGAACGACGCGGAAACGGACAATTTCGGACAGACCGCTACGCAACAGGGTTGAAAGAATAACAAACCACTATCCTAGAGATACCAATTCTTATATACTGTCGTGATAGGCATCACCACATACCCCTCTTACCTCATTTGGGGATCGCTAAGTGGAGGTCTTTTTCCAAGGTTGCATTCCAATCTTCCGCCTTTTTTCCGAACCTAAAACAACCTCCTGTCTATGCACCTAAATTATGTATCCTGAAAATCCCTTTTTCCTTTTAACTATCCAGTTTTCCTTTTAGATACCAAATTTATGCACCTTTTCCGAAAACTTAGGGACTGCCGCGATGGAATTCCAAGATTACAAAGCTACGCCCCCACCAGATCGCTGCAGCCCTCAGTTCTCCCAAAATCCCTTTCCCCCACTCCTTTACAGAATCCTTTAAATACGGAGGAAAAACGGAAAAGAGGACTCAGTTATTTTGTAAGAGCGACTTTGCGACGTTTATACTAAAACACTTGTACTCAGTTCAACTAAATAAAAACTAGTGTTACCAATCCAGTGAAACTTCCTCCCTTGAATCACACTCTCAGAGTCACCTCGACGACATTACTAAGCTTTTCGCTAAGGAGGGGATGTCGGTGACCCTTGGTACCTGATGACTCGTTGTAGATGACTAGTCCTGATTAAGACATTTGTGTATTTTATGTAGGATTTTGGATTTGTGACAAACAAGGCTGACTAAGATATTTTGGACGCAGCGGTTCTAGTACGCTTATCTATGGTGCGTCATTAGGTTGGTCATCCAACACCTCCCCCCTTTTTTAGTTTTCGGCGACGAAAAATTCTAAAATTAAAGTCGTTCTGACGATACGGTCTGGCTAAATTAGTAATAAACTACTTTAGTGTACTTTAATATGCGTACAAATACCTTAAATAATATTAGCTTAATTTACTTAGTTTTTTTTCTCTTTTTTTTTAATACATAAGGATATATTAATACATACATAAATTCGCATTGCTAAATTCTAATGGTGTGGTACTTTTGCGCGGTCTTGTAACACGGCTGGAAGTGTTACGGAGGTTGTATCGTGATGGTGTAGGTGCGTCGTGTTGACGTTGTCGGATGTCTTCTTCGGTGGATACTGGATTTCCTGGTATCCGTACTCCTTCCTGAGCATCGTATAGCGCGATATCCCTGGACTGCTCCCAGTATTCGGTACGAACATCTGAGTCGAATGTACAATTAATAACATTCTTGATCATAGGTGGGACAATGTTTCCATTAGTTGAGTTTCTGGTAAAGCAGAACAGTCTCTGAAGAAGTTTTCAGCATCCGAAGTAGCGACAACAATTTCCGCAAACAAATAAAATTAGTATCGCGGCTATCACACATAAGGCTATTGTATACCAGTGTGTATGTATTACAATGAGTGGTTCTTTTAATCGTTGTGTTAACAATTCATCGAATTCGTTAATCTTTTTCCTGGCGTACTTAAGATCATTTAGGTCTATATTTGTTAATTTGATTGGTTTTAATTCTACGGATGGTATTTTTGCAATTTCGGAAGTGATACAACAATCGCTCCCAACTATGCTTACTGGAGGAATATAATGGGTAAAGTTCTTATTTGTATGGTTTGCAGGTTCCAAGAGGTATAACATGGTGTAACTCTTGCAGTTATTTCGCAGCTGCAGTACTCCGGTTTGGTGTAGGACGATGTCTTCTATCTGGTCTTTCTCTTCCTCGCAGATAATCGTCAAGGTTATTGGTTTCTGGAGGATGTAGATCCACCAATTTCCTCCTATATATTTCCAAGTTTCTATCTCAGCTCGGATGGTTCGTGTCTCGCAGTCATCAGGAAGTCGGTTTACGCGAGGTGACAGCAACGAAACCTCAGAGGTGGCTTGGTCCGTATTTTTCGAAGTGTAGATGTTTGCGCATATGTACATTCCCTCCAAATACTCGTCGCATTCTGACAAGTCTGGTAGGAAGGAGAAAAGGGTTTTGGATTGGGATAAGGGTAAATACGGTTGTTTTGGCGTGATGTAGGAAAAGGTTGACGCGATAGGAAGCGGAATTAATTGGTATACGTCGAAGTTTGTGTTTCTTACAAGTGGGAAATTTAAAGCAAATACAACAAGTCCGTTTTTAGATACTATCTGCAAACTCATTAACTTATAAAGAATTTGTAAATTTTGTACGTTTGTTATTAACAGTAATTCAAAGTTTCCTTTATAGTTATTTAATTCTACACATAGTTCTTTTGGAGTTACAACAAATGACGAAACTATTTGATGGTTGCCTAAGTTGATTGATTCTATGTATCTATTATATTCGGCAGAGATACGCATGCAAAAAGAAAGAAGCATTGTAGCATGTTGTGTAATTAGTGATTCAAGAGATAGGCGCGCTAGATATGCGTTGGTTTCTTTCGTATATTTATTAATTAATCATAAATTATTGTTTAGTGTGGCTTCAATGGTTTTCAAAGATTGTAAGGAACTGTTGAAATTTTTTTTTATGGTGCTTGAAATGATCTGAACTTGTGACTTCAAGAGAGTTTGTGTTTGTTTATTATCGTTTACCAACATTTTAATGCTGTCTGAATAGTATTGGGCATCGTCTGCATCTGGTGTTCCGATTAACCAGTTTAGTATGTTGGATACCCCATTAATTAAACCTCGACGTTTACGTTCTTTAGTATTTCTGATTAAATCGTACAAGATGTCGCGATTTTTTCGTATGCTTCGCAACTCGTCCTCGATAAGGTTTAAAGTCTGATCGCAGTGAAAACTGGCATAATTATGCTCCGCAAGATCTTTCAATGCAACGGTACATAGTTTTTGCGATTTTATGAAATATGATTCTAAAATGTCTTTTGCTTCTTTTAAATAGGTGACATTGATATGTGTTAAGAGAATCAAGTTAGAAGAAGAACTAGTACCAAGATTGTCAGAATCATCTGAAATATGTGGTTTTAAAAGATTAGTGTGATATTTACAACTTTTCTTTTGTTGAGCCGTCACGGCTTAACAGAGTCGACACATGCAGAGACTTAAGTTCTTTACAGCACGGGGCAAAAAACGGCTCCTATTGTTTAGTATTTTAACGGCACATCGCGGCAAGATTCATTGGCCTTTTGAAATCAAATTCTAAAACCTTCCTTTCACCCGCATGTGGCAGCCAGCGACGGGTTGTAAATGCATATTTCTGAAGGGCGACCAAATGGTATCCTAAGGACACTCGGTACCTGGGGTTTGCCTGGAAAAAATTTGTATCCAAGCTAAACACATAGTCTCTGCATGCCTTAGGTTGCTACCCCACCCTCGGTAGACTAGGCGTGCCAAGGGCGCAGCGACGGTGGGGACAATTCGTTTCGAAAGCCCCTGATTGGGACTTGTCAATTTTGGCGATAACCAATCAGGGTGTTTTCTTAAATTTCGGAGCTGACGATCTGACTCGCAGATCGCCAGCGAAAAAGACAACTCACAACTTTCAAACGATACACATCATACAAGCGCGTCTTAGTGTTCAGACATAATTGTACACACAAAAAATACAGTCCACTCACGAAGAAGCAAGCGGTTTCATTTAATCAGCTCCAAGTAAGGACGCTGCTGTGAACGCCCAACATTTTGGTTCTTCGAGCCGGAGTATTGGAATCTTGCTCGGAGTATACATAAGTGTCTGATACTAAGACAAGCTAAAATACATATTTTCAATTTCGTGGAAACTTTGGACTTGGATCGCTAGTGATCATCAATCAGCACATCAGAAAGCGAGCAGGACACAACATTCCCGACTGGATCGCAGCTGCTACGTGGAGTGGTGGAGTCTTCCTGTGCTATCAGTGATAGTGCGTTTTCGTGAGTTATACAACGTGGACAGTTGTCTACAATCATCGTCGGCAGCCTTTTCAACATATCGTCGACAGCCTTTCAACACATTGTCGGCAGCCTTCTCAACACATCGTCGGCAGTCTTCTCAACACATCATCGGCAAACATCGCTAGTTTGCAGTTAGCAGTCGAGCATCGTCCAGCATCTTGTCAGATTATTAGCTTCGTGCGGTAAGTCTAACGATTCACCTTCCTTTCCTATTCATTTGAACGGCTCGATCTCAATTCAAAATGACGTCTACACATGAATCCGTTAGCATAAAAAACCTTATAACTTGGGATAACTTCCTTAGAAATTCGTCAAGCAAGATTAGAGCAGTGTTATAACTCTTTCTCTGAAGTACAATTAGCGTTAGAAATCGAAGACGAGGATCACGGTCACACTCCTGAACGGGAACATTTCGAAAATCAATATTACCTCGCTGCAGATCGATTAAGCGATCGTCTAAAGGCATTGCGGGTAGATTCTAGAGCATCAATTAGTACAAATAGTGATGTAGAATCACCAATACACATAATAAGACAAACTACTAACAACCTTCTTCCAAAGGTCGAGTTGAAACCCTTTGACGGAAATTTGATCGAGTGGCGTAGCTATCACGACACTTTTAAATCATTAGTGCATGATAACGAGGAGTTGATTCCGGTACAAAAATTCCATTTGTTAAAAAATTCCCTTATCGGAGGAGCGGCCACAGTAATTTCTACATTGAACGCGTCCGAAACAAATTACAAGGTAGCCTGGGATTTGTTGTGTCAGCGGTGCAATAAACCGAGAAAAACAGTAAACGCTCATTTAAAGTTATTTTTCGAGCTTCCGGAAGTCAGTCGAGATACACCCACGAAACTGCAACAATTAGCAGAGCAAGCCCAAATGCATGTCAATGCATTAAAATCGTTAGGACAGCCGATAGAACAGTGGAATGCAATTCTAGTTTATAGCTTAGGGAACAAGTTAGATAAAAATACGCGGCGTGCTTGGGAGCGTACACTCGATGACGACAAATTTCCAACTTTCGATGAATTGATCGCCTTTATTAACAAGCAAGCGCGCGGAGAGGAACTCGATTCAGATCTGGTCAGTTCCTCAAATTTTAGTAATACACACTTAAAAAATAAGGCAAAATTTCGTGGACAATCCTATGTCTCTACAAAGGGTCCCAGTCGATACAATTGTGCTTTTTGTAAAGGTGAACATGCAATCTATTCTTGTTCAAAATTTTTGAAAATAACAGTTCGCGATCGTTTCAATTTCGTTAAGAAGGCACAACTCTGCCTCAATTGTTTACGTCCCAACCATACAATATCTAATTGCAGATTAGGATATTGTAAAAAATGTGAGAAGCCTCACCATACACTCCTCCATTTCCCTACGGAAATTCTTCAATCCTATTCGACACACTTACAAGCGTCACCTAGTCCTTCGACGCCATCGAATATAGAAACGGCCCCTTCGTTAGAAAATACGAAACATGCATTATTAGTCTCCTCGGACTCGGAAGTTTTATTGGGAACCGCGATAATAAAGATTTTAGACCAATACGGTAAAGCACATTTTTGTCGCGTATTACTTGACAGTGGATCGCAGTCCCACTTTATTACAGAATCCTTTGCTAAGAAATTAAATTTAAAGACACACAGATTAAACTCGTATTTTTCGGGCATAGGACAGCACCATTCAACCGCTGAGTCGATAGTCAAAACTAGCATCAGGTCAATGAAGCGCGTATTTCAATCGCAGGTAGCTTTCGTGGTATTACCTTCCATTACGGGTTTACTACCGACGAGACAGGTACCTCGCGAATCTTTAAATATACCGAAACACATTGAGCTTGCGGATCCAAATTTCGATCAACCGAACGAAGTGGATGCATTACTTGGCAATACACTTTATTATGAATTATTGTTAACAGAACAAATTAGATTACAAGACACTCCAGTTATCTTGCAAAATACACATGTAGGTTGGTTAGTTACGGGAGAAATAGCTATAAAGAGTCAGGTCGGTCCGCAGAATTCGATCAAGAGGTGTCATTTAACGACATCACTAAATAAACAGTTAGAGAGGTTTTGGGCCATCGAGGAAATACCAGAGAAACAATTTCTATCTCCAGAAGAAGCCGCGTGTGAACAACATTTTAAACAATACGTGTCGCGAGACCACACGGGCAGATACACGGTTCGTCTACCCTTTAATGAAAAGAAGGGACTTTTAGGTGATTCGAAGGGACTAGCTTTAAAATGTTTTGTTAACTTAGAAAATAAATTACATAAGAATCCCAAACTTCTCGAACAATACTCCCAATTTTTGAATGAGTATATAGAGTTGGGTCATATGACTGAGGTTAAAGATGACTCACCTTTTGAAGGCTTCTACCTGCCCCGTCACTCGATAGTTAAAGACACTAGCAACACTACCAGGATTAGAGTAGTTTTTGACGCATCGGCAAAAGGTTCAACAGGTATATCGCTTAATGACACCCTTCTAACGGGCCCCACAATCCAGGATATCTTATTTTCTATTCTATTGAGATTTCGCTGTCACAATTTTGTTTTAACCGCGGACGTTGAAAAAATGTTCCGCCAGATAAATATCCATCACGAGGACAGAGCTTTCCAAAAGATTCTATGGAGGGACTCTAGACAAGGGCCTCTAAAAACTTACTGTTTAAATACGGTCACGTATGGAACCGCGTGTGCACCATTTTTGGCAATTCGTTGTCTACAACAAACAGCAGAAGACGAATCCGAAAACTTTCCCATTGCAGCTCGTACATTCAAAACAGATTTCTATGTTGACGATCTACTGACAGGAGCGTCTACTTTTGAGGTCGCTCTAATTCTCCGTAATGAGCTCATACAATTGGCGAAGGCAGGAGATTTCCATTTACGGCAATGGAGCTCGAATGATCCGAGGTTGATTGAAGATCTATTAGCAACAAATCAACATAATTCACTATGTTTGGATCCTTCCGAGACAAAAAAGACTCTTGGTATTTTTTGGAACCCTTCTAGAGATGATATAGTGTATACAATAGAAAAATTTCCTAACCAACCTTTTCTCACAAAAAGAATAATATTGTCTCAAATAGCACAGTTATTTGATCCATTTGGGTTATTAGGACCAATAATCATTAAAGCAAAAATAATAATGCAAGACCTCTGGAAGGCCGCGGTTGATTGGCACGAACCAGTCTCCAAATCCATCGAACAAGCTTGGCTTACAATCGTTAACCAATTAGACTTATTGAATCGTTTTTCCATACACAGAAGGATTGCCTTAAATCAAGCTGTTGAACTTCAGCTTCATGGGTTTTGTGACGCCAGCGAGAGCGCTTATGGAGCTTGCGTTTATATTAGATCCACTAACAAGCAGGGACAACATGCGGTCGAATTGTTATGTGCGAAATCACGCGTGGCTCCCATCAAAACGAATTCATTGCCGCGATTAGAACTTTGCGCAGCAAAACTTTTAGCAAATTTGTACAGGGAGGTTATAAAATCACTAAAAAATTGTAGATTCTCAACCATTCGATTTTGGTCGGATTCGACGATCACAACATTACATTGGATTCGTACATCTTCGCATCTCTTAAAAACATTTATCGCCAATAGAGTTAATGAAATTCAAACACTTACCGATCCACAAGCATGGGGGCATGTACGCAGTAGTGAGAATCCAGCAGATTTTATTTCTAGAGGCCAACTACCTGCTGAATTTATTGAAAACAGCACGTGGTTACATGGACCACATTGGTTAACAAAGAACCCGTCGTACTGGCCTACATATGAGTTAGCACCGATTGATATACCCGAAAAGAGACAATCTATAGTATTAACGGTCCAAACAACTACAAACGACTTATTTGAACGGTTTTCATCTTTCGAATCATTAGTAAGGGTAATAGCATATACACTCTGTTTGACAAGAGCGTGTCCGGCAAAACTCGAAAACTATTTAGGATATCGGGTTCGAAAAAAATACACAAATTCTTTACGGTGTATACTAAGATGCTTTATTATTAATATGCTGTCCAGTCACCGCCATTATCAATAATTAATTTACATCTTCGAGGCATACTTTCTACTAATGTAATCGCATAATCACGAGATAAGGACCTCCATACCAATCGAATTTGACGAATCAGCTTCTTGATCGTGTTGAGCTTCTTTCCTCTGAG